TTGAAAGAAGTACAAAATCAACTCAAACAAACAATCCATTTTCTCCATTTAAGAAAAGAAAAAGCTTGGAGATGGAAAGTGTGTTAGATATAGTTAAGAAACCAGTTGCCACCTATGTCAGGCAAGGCAACATTATCTATGTGCAACCTACATAAGTGCATATATAATATATATATATATAGGTTCGAAATGATTTAGGTTCTCAACTTGCCAAAACACCTCCAAACATGCAAGAATTAGGAAGTATGGCTTAGATTTAACAAGAAAATATTTGAAGAAAAGGAAACCAGCACATCAAACATTAGCAATCAAGTACTTAAAAATTTAAAATAAAAAATGTCATTGAGACATTTCCACAAACATATAATACACAATATTCTGATGCAATCTCCACTTATAGAAATTGAATTAAGAGATGAGCAAATTGTTACCTAAAATCTGTGAGGTCGTGAAGTTACTTCCAGTTGAGAGGAAGAGGAGTCACTGGAACTACTATTGTTTGCTGTAGATGTCTGCATACCGCATAGAAGCCACAAACAAAACACAAAATGAAGAAAAAATAGAAAAAGAAAAAGTGAGAAGATCGGATGTTTACCAACCAAATGAGATAAATGAGAAGTAAATATTGAGGAATGAGACAATTGATCATAGAAAACTCTTGAAAAAACAAAAATAGTAGACTCGGTCGTGGATAGAGTAATGTAGATGAGCGTAGCAATCGATCTTGGATCGAGTAAGGAAGATGAGCATAGCAGGAGAATGAGGCGAAATACGAGCCCTGTTTGAGCCTTGTCTCAAATTTTGTCTAAAAAATTGTTTATAAAACCTTGCCTTTGAGATTGAGCGCGACCAAGTAGGTGCGCTCAGTTTCAAGGACAGATGCTTCGATTTGGTTTCCGAATCAGCTTTAGAAGGCAAGTAAAAAAAAAGGGTATGTCTAAAATGTTATTTTAAAAGCAAAGAATTTGGTTTTTAAAACATAAAAAGAACAATCCCTAATTTGTTAGAAGCAACCGATTTCTCAATGTAAATAGTAAAAACATATTTTGATAAATGATTATCAAAAAACTTATTTTAATAAATAAATTTCTTATTAATATTAATATAATTTTGTCAACTATGTACCAGGTGAATATTAATTGTGTTATTAAAAGTTTATTAATAACTAGGTATTGATAAATTCAAAATATTATAACTTGACTGAATGAATTCTTTACTCAACCAAACAGCCTTTTACGTTTACATTAAAAAAGAAAAAGCAGAAAGCTGGAAAATGGTCATGTGCATCACGTTTAGCATGACACCGACAACCTTATGACACCCAACACGCTTTGTGCAGCGGTGATAGAAAGCAAACGTGACGCCGACGACAACACAATAGAGTTCCGTAGTACTTATCATTAGCTGAGATGGGCCGTGACGGCTTTGACTTTTTCCTGTATGAACACGCCGCAATATTCAGCTACCACTGTACCGTTAAAAATTAATTTGGAACTTATATAATCTATTTTCAATGTAAAAAAATCTTGATTTTAATAATAAATTTAATTATTTTGACTTGACCGGCATCTCGTACCCGCTCGGGTTGAGATCTATAATTTCTTTTTCTTTTTTTTTCCTTTTTTTTTGAGGTGCAGGTAATGAAAAAATAGATTTACCTTAATAAAAATGATCTAATTTTAATTAGAATAATTATAAAATTAATCAATAAAAAACTAAAAGTTGTCTCAAATTGACTTTAGAAAATTATTATTTAAATTTTAATAAGAATTTAATTACAAATCTGATTTTTACTTAAACCATTTGACTTTTAAAACTTGGATATTTCTTAACTTTGCTCTATTTTTTAAAATGCAAATCAGATTTACTATTTTTGATTTTCTTAATTTTTTATTTTTTTAGCTATTTTGAAATTTTTTGTGGTCACAATCTAATTGATAGAACTTAAAATTAAATATTGACAAGTTTAACCATTAAATTGCTAATAATAAATTAATTAAATATTGAAGTATTGAAATTCTTATGAACTTAAATTGTATATAATATAATTGAGACTAAAAAGAAAATATCCATTTTTAATCATATTTAATGTTAGGTAATAAATAAAATATGTTACATTTAAACTTCATGCACATTTTTAAATTTAAATAATTAAATCTTAGACATTATCAAATGTATTTGCAATGATTTGAGAATCACTAATTATAATAATTTTTTGACTTAGAACCACTATTTCATTAATTTAAATTTAAATTATTTAATAATAATTTTTAAAATTTTATTTACAATAAAATATTTACAAGTTGATATGAGATGAATATCATATTACTTAATTCTAAATATTAAATATTTATAATTATAAATATTAGTTCAGTTGTCATTAATTTTATCTGTTCAAACACGTTCCGAAGTCTAAGTTTCGCTTTATTTGAATATAAGGGCAAGAATTTACAATGCATGCCCAACTTTAAATGATTTCTATTACTTCCCCAATTTGCATGGATAGCTGGTGCAAGTGAGTTATGTCAAATTTTCAAAAGTGAAATTTTTAATCAAAAGTGATAAAAGGGAAAATTTCTACCCAAAATTTCATTGGTAAGTCCTACGATTTGATATTTATTTTTAAATTAATTTATAAGTATGAAATCCTATTATACATAGGAGTTTAGTGATTATTAACGAGTATTTTGAGTTTATATATTTTGGGTCAATAATTTAAAATTATCAAAATGTTAAAGTTAGTAAAGCCATGTTATATATAAGAGTCTAAAAATTATTGCTTAATAAATTAGATTTTATTATTTTACATAAGTAGTTTAACTTTAATAAGTTATTAAATCAATAATTCTAGGGCTGTTGCAATATTTAATTTCTATTTAGTTTTTAAAATTTTAATCTCAATAATTTAGCCCTTTTTGCCTAAGTCTCATCAAAGCCAACAATTGATGGATGTTCCAATCCCCAAATGAAAAAAAAAAATGCACATCGTGGAAAGGAAGATAGTACCTAGGCTACAAATTTAAATATCATGTACTCTCACATGAGGTGCTTGTAAAAATTGATGGATACTATAAGAATTCTGACATTAAGTGCTCACATGAAAATATTAATAGCATTGGTGAAGAATCACATAAGAATTTATTAATCTAAACTAAATTTCTAATTAAAACAAAACTATGAGACTCAATTAGCCAAAAAAAAAAAAGAAAAAAAAAAACCACATGGGGACTAAAGTACATATAAGTTGTATGAATTTATATTAAAGTCGTAATCTTGCTAATAATGTAGGGTGTGGCTCAAAGATGAATCAAGTGGCAGTTAATGGACTCATTCCACCTTAATTTAAGGGACGTGTTTGATAGGTTGAATTAAAATTAAATAATAATAGTTGTTTGGTGCTTATCTAATATTTGATAGATTGGACAAAAGTTTCGGATGAAAACTAAATGTGAACAGTTATTCTGTCATATTCAAATAAGCTTATTTTTAGAGGTAGATATTCAATTTTTTGACATAATATTGTACTAACTATTCACAACCTAAATTACTAGAATATAACTACCCACCACAGTTACTGACTATTGCTGATTGTTGCTCATCACTGTTTATTATCAATAATAAAATGATTATTTTAATAATTTATATGTTTATCTAATTTTTATTGTCAATTATCGCTCGTTGTTGTTTATTACCAATAACAAAATGATTATTTTAATAATTTATATATTTATTTAATTTTTATCTAAAATATATTGAATAAGATATAACTATTTAAAATACTATTCATTTGAAATATTTTATTAAAATCTAATTTTTATTTTATTTTATTTTATCTAACTTACTCAAGAGTCACAAGGGGAGAAGAACGGCATGAGATGTAGGCGAGTGAAAAGGACTACTTAGGTTACTGGTGGCTAGGATGATACCATGCTCATGACAATAATGCATAAGCATTTCACAAGGGTCTTTGCATACAAATCCAACCCTTGAACAGACCATCTCTGCCCCTTTACCTGCTCAGCAGCAAGACATTGGAAAAATAGAACACTGTAATTTAGATAAAATACAATAGACATGGTTCGAATTCGGATATCTGCAGATTTTTTCTTTTTCCATCTGTTGAGTGGTGTCGTTTTGAGTTATAAAAATAAAATTCTAACGTTTAAGAATCCCTTTCCCGTCACCATGATCTCCCATTCCAGCAAGCATATCTGAATATGCCCCGTGACGAACTGCATTGAAGTTTTATTTAGATTAAGCATTATAAAAATCTTGACGATTGGGCGCACAGCTCAGACTCAATGGCTGCAAGCAAATCCCTCTCCCCAAAGGACCCCATGGAGTGAAAGTAACAGCCAAACAAGGCATGCACGACAATTCCATCAAGTCTTGTCGACAGCCACCCATTTTCTGAATTTTACAACCACGATTTATTTATTTATTTTACTTATATTTATTCTTTCGGGCAGAAAAAGTCAAAAATAGCAACTTGGAAGCTGTCACCTCCTATGAATTTTCCGGATGTTTCAAACTCTTAGCAGAGTAGCACACCCATTTCTATCCATTACCCACGCCACCCCCACCCCTACCCCCACAAAAAACAAAAAGAAAAAAAAGAAGTCGTACATTCATTCGCTGACCAGGTATTATTGTAATTTGCCATCTTTGGGCCCTTCAATACTCGGAAAAAGTCATAATCTCTCTTCCCAATAAGCCCTTCTTCCGTGTTTGACTTTTTTCTTTATCCACCCTCTTCTTCTCCACGTACAGACATATATAACCCAAATCCATCTTCTCCTAGCTTGTTGAACTCAATCCACAACTCTGCAATATCTTCCACTCTCAAATCTCGATCAAATACCAAAATTTCTACTGATTTCTTTTTATATATTCTCATTTTTTCTTCTGCAAAACTTCTGGATTTTCGTTAATTTGATTGATCTCTTCCTGGGCTTTTCATTTTATTTGTGAAACTTGACAGTCTTTCTTGATTTTTCCCAATGGATGAAATCGAGGTCCCGCCGTACTTCCTCTGCCCGGTCTCTCTAGAAATCATGAAAGACCCGGTGACCCTTTCCACCGGCATTACATACGACCGGGAAAGCATAGAGAAATGGATATTTTCCGAGAAAAACACCACTTGTCCGGTCACCAAACAGCCCCTTAAACCCGATTCAGAGCTGACACCAAACCACACCCTTCGCCGGTTGATCCAGTCATGGTGCACCCTCAATGCTTCCCGGGGAGTCGAACGCATCCCAACACCCCAACCCCCGGTCACCAGAACCCAAATCGCAAAGCTACTCAATGACGCCAAGTCACCGCACCTGCAAATGAAGTGCCTCGCAACTCTCCGATCCATTGTTTCCGCCAGCGACGCCAATAAGAGGTACGTTACAGATGAAAAAATAAAACAATAAAATTAGGGCATCGATAATAATAATAGATATATAGTTTATTGATAAAGCAATCAATAAGAATATGTTCAAAATATTTCAATAGCATTCAGTTTTCAATTCATAGAAATAACTACGTTCGAATTTTTAAGTCAAGTAGATTTTATTTACGAAATATGGAAGATCATAAATAGTTTTTATTTTCATTTTTAGGTATAATATCCAACTTAAATATTTACAATTAAACAAATTCGGAAAATTCTATGTTCCAAATCTAAAAGTGTATTATTTATCTCATTTCTCAAATATTATCTTATCTCTGATCAGGTGCATGGAAGCTGCCGGCGCCGCTGAGTTTTTAGCTTCACTCCTCCACTTCGACACCGCCGCGGCAGGAGAAGAATATGAAGATGGGTTTAATTACAGTAATCAATTTACAACAGCCAGTGACGAAGCTCTGAGCATCCTCTACAATCTTCGGCCATCGGAGGACACCCTCAAGTCACTTGCCGCAAAAAATCCCAACCTCGTGGACTCCTTAACCGTAGCCATGCAGAATGGAAGCTACGAGTCTCGTGCATACGCCGTAATGCTGCTAAAATCAATATTTGAAGTAGCCGATCCAACACAGCTTATTACCCTAAAACGATCATTATTCGTCGAGCTAGTTCAGCTCTTGCATGATAATGTCTCTTACAAGGCCTCAGCGGCTGCATTACATATCATGATCAATATTTGTCCTTTGGGACGAAACAAGGTGAAGGCGGTAGAGGCGGGTGCGGTGGCGGTTTTGATCGATCTTCTTCTAGATTCTTCCGAGAGGAGGGCTTGCGAGATGAGCCTGGTGGCGCTGGAGCAGCTGGCCCATTGCGCGGATGGGAGAGCCGAGCTGGTGAGCCATGGAGCGGGGCTGGCTGTGGTGTCGAAGAAAATACTTAGGATTTCGAAGATGGCGAGCAAAGCCGCAGTAAGGATTCTGCATTGGGTTTCAAAATTTTCAGCGAACGAGAGGGTTCTGCATGAAATGTTGGAGGTGGGGGTGGTGGCAAAGCTGTGTTTGGTGCTTCAGGTGGACAGTGGAGAAAAGACCAAGGAGAAAGCGAAGGAGATCCTTAGGATGCACTCTAGGGCGTGGAAGAATTCTCCCTGCGTACCTGTAACCCTGCTTTCTTCATATCCTTCTTAAGAGAGAGACTCAGGAAGACAAGTTTTTCTCGTGTAAATGATGTACATGATCTAGGTTGGAATTCGAACTCAAGAATACAAAGCGTAAATGTATACGAGAACTTAGAAGGTTCGTATAGGTTGTAGAACGATTCGTTGTAGATGGGTTTGTTTGTACTTAGACGAATAATTGCTCTGTCCTTATCTCCCTATAAAAATGAACGATTCATTTTTATATAAATTTTATAATTATTTTATGATTTTTAGATCGTTGAAAGTAATGTTTAATGAAGGGCATTAAAGTAATTAAAAGCCACAACACATATCAACACATTTATTCATTTTATTAATTATTTTTTCTTATCTTTTCACCTTTAGTAATTGACTGCCTGCCAAGTAATTTTATGGTTTTGAATTTCTAGATATTTTTTTTTCTTATCCTTTTCCGGGTCTCCCTAACCACATCAATTTTGTCACGACTTAATTCGAGAATCACGACCGACCGATGGTAGGATTAAAATCCTGAATTTTCATTTTTGTACATTTGGAAATCTCACTAGAAAAATAAATAAATTAAAATAAAAAATCTTAAGCGGCGAGGCTACCTTATTTGGTGAGAAAGAAAAAAAAAATTCCGTTAATTTGTGTTCCTTTATTCTCATTTTATAAAAAAATATATTTATAATTCAATTCAAACACGTGACCATCATTAGAAAGCCAATCTTACCTTAATATATCCAAAGCTCATTTAAAAAAAAAAAAAAAGATTTGGAAACATCAATCTAGGTTTGTATATATATCTTAACGTGACATTCCAACTATAGACGATTACACAAAGCTTTTAGATTGGAACCGTGATTTTTAGACTTAACAAGGGAGAGAGGTGATTCTCTTTGTTCAAATTTTAGATTTATTTTTCTAATTCCAATTTCTAGTTATATATATTTTTATTATTAATGGTCCAATTTTTTAATTAACAACTTAATTTTTTTTTCTGATTTTACAAAGTAAATAGACAAAGTAAAATCAAATTACAAAAATAGATACATATTCATTGGACTAATCTATTTAAAGCTCCATGGCCATTTTTGTTATTAGATCATTATAATATTCTTAAAAGATGTATTTATTAACGTATGCAGTACAAATTTAGTCTCCTTCTTTTATCTTGTCTTATATAAAATTTGTGACACATTGTATATTCTAATTCTTAAAATCTTTGTTAATAAAAGGTTTAGAGCCTTTTACCACCATATACACCCTTGTCTGCATCATTAGCTAATTTTCCAGCAGCTATAATTATCCAATTTTAAATGTAGTTAAACTAAACAAATTACAATTAAAATACCAATAAATTAATCTCTTAACTGATGCAATGTTGGATTCATTTAAAAAATTTTAAAACAACGAGAAATTTTCATTAATATTATATAATCTTTACAATATCAAATTTTTTTCAAAAATAAAAAACTGACCCACAAGCTACAAGTTATACAACAATGAACCCCTGCATTTCTAAGTGATTGATACTGCATGCAAAATTCAAACTTTTTCTCCTATCAAAGACTAGTCATTGGATAGATATGGTCAGTCCAACATTATTTACCAACATAATCAAACTATAGAACATTCTTGTGACCTTTCCTTTTCCAGCCATATTTAATTAGAGCAATTTTTACACGATATCAACCCGGTTTAATTCAAGCCCAAGAATGGATGGCCAAGTCAAAAATACTAAACTGAGGAATCTCACTTCAAAATGAATATAATGAACACAAAGAAAGTAAATTTAAATTTGTACATAGACAAAACAAAACTAATAAGAAATTCTAATTAAGAAGGATTCTTAGTCCTATTATTAAAGAATTCTTAATTATATAATTAATCTTAAAATTGTGATAATTGGTGTAAAAAACTCTTTATTTAATTAGGAATGACACAATTAAAAACTCAATAAACATGAGTAAAACATAACAAGATAGTTACTTATTTATAGAAATGAATTAAATTTAACTTTGTGAAAGTACATTTTTTAGCAAGTGCAACTGTGCATTTTGAACAGAATTAATTTATGACTATAAATTAGATGATAAGACCTTTGATAAAGACAAAAAAAAATGACACAATTGAAAAAATTGGTATTTATTATTTTTTATAACTTCTACCTTATCTTACATATAATTCTTTAACACTGAAAGTTTGAATTTTATTCGAATTAAAAATGTTAAAATTATAATAAAAAATACGTTTCTTAAGTTAATTTTATAAACATTACAAATAAATATATAGAAAAATCTATTTACCGGCACTGACCGGGTAAAACTTCAACAATGAAGATCCGCTGCCAACAGAAACGAAGAGGATATACCAATTCAAAATCTGCTTGAATCGACGACGAGTTGACTCTCCTTCGGTCCGAGCCGGTTTGCCTCGGTGAAGATTTGGATCCCCACCACGTGATACTTGAAAAATTCAACGGCAGATTAACGCAATAACAACGTCAATTAATGTCTTAAAATGTTAAGGAACAAAATTGGAAGCTTCCAGATTTTCTGATTGCGCTTCCTTTTCTTTCTTTTTTTTTTCTGAACTATAAAATTTTTTATATTTTATTTTTAGTATTTTTGTAGAAGAACCACGATAAAATTCTCACATTTAAAAATATTAGTTTTATTTCTAATTTTAGCTAAAAATTATTTTCTAATTTAGCGTGGCTCAAAGTGGGAGGCACGTTACAACTAATTCTTGACATGACAATTTAAAAATAACGTGTTATTTAAATAAATGGATACGCCAACTTGGATGGCACAAATCAATTGAGTGACGCCACAGTTGATACCAATGTATTTTTCTGATGCATAATTTGGTCATGTGTTTCTATTTTTTATGTTATTTTTTGATGCTCATTTATGTTTAAGCTTCAAATTAACTTTATTCAGTATAGTACATTATAGTTGTCTATATCTAAATATGTATTTTTATAAAATTAAATTTATTTTTTTTATAAATATAAGAGTATTATATTATGTATATCATACTCAATGAGATATTTTTTTTTATGTTATTTGACAATAGATATCATGATTTTGTATTATATATTTTTGCAAGGTATTACTATGACGTTTAGTGTGGTGTCTTTTTTATATTAAATTATGAGTTGAGATTTAAAATTTTTAAGATAATTATTAAATAATTAAAATTTTAAATATTTTAAATTAATAATTTAAATACAATAAAATGTTTGATTTAATGTTACATCGGATCATGATAAAGGATATTATAACCTCTTAAGGACCTACCTTCTTAGTTTATAGAAATTAAATACATGAAAGGGTTTCCTTTCGCACGTGGAAGAGTACGAAGAATGATAATGCAATGAGTCATGCAAAAAGCAGCTTTAAGATAACTAACAAACAAAATATGCTAATAAGTTAACTAACTAACAAACTGCGGCATCTTTGAAAGAAGGAACACCGTCAATTCAATAAGTTTGAGAGAAAATTAAGCAGCCGATTAGTTTAGTAAAATTTATTATCCAAATAGTCAATATAAAAAATACTAATTTGTGTAATTTTAAGTCAAAAATATTTATTATCATGACTCGAAAAGGCGAATTCGTGATCGGCGTTAAGGTTAGGATAATTCCAACCCCACAAGTTTTAAATGATCAAAATTATAATAGAATCAGTCAAAACTCCATTTAATACAGTACCCCAAAATCTAATACAAATTTTTAAAAATTCAATACATATCAACATTTACAAATTCTTAAACTCAAACTCTATCTATGATCATAGAACTAACTAAAACAAAATTATACATCGGAAAAGAACAATAACTAAATACTGCACTCGGAAAACTAACTCAGGTGGAACCACAGAATCAGGATCAACAACTCTTCTCACGCAGTAGGATCAGTCGGAAAACACAGAACCTGAGTTTGGAAAAATTAAGGGATGAGTCTAATGACCCAGTGAATAGTAACGCGTATTTACATGACAATGAACATACATTAAATGCTTTTATCATAAAACGTAATCTTTTAGGTTATACGCTTATAATGATCGAAACAGAATTATACTTAGTCAGTTGTTAACAGAAATTAGGAGATGGCATCCTCGGTGCCCAGATACACATATACACATATAACAGGCGAGAATCATGGGTGGGAATACAACCACCGTCTCTACTTACCACCATCTCGCTAATCTCAAAGAGGCTTATCATGTCAAACAAAAACAGGACGGCAACCTCATGATCCACCGTAATAGAACAAGAATTAGTTTACAAAATTTTAATGTTTCAAACATAATAAAAATCAGTAGTTCAGGAAATTTCCAACAAATCAGAAAATGCTATATACGTCTCTTGTAAGCTTTTATAACATATAAAATTTCAATTTCAAAATAACTGAGTTTATAAACAATTTATGCAAAAACTCATTATTTAACAAATGCAGAAAACAATGGAGCATATAAATACGTATTACTACTCACAAAAATCGAAGAGTGTCGAAACCCGAGCTTCAACAACACAACTCCACGAGAATTGAACAATCGATCTAAAAATGACAAAATCCTTCTTGTAGGATCTCATATAACTTATAATTAATTTAGAATTAAATTCTCTTCTAATACCTGGCTATAATCTTTGGTTTTTTGTGTTCAATCTCATATTGGGAATTCTAAAAGTCCCGAACTGATCACATAATTCACATCCTATGTATTAAGTCCTTGAACCGGGCTCATAAAATAATCAACTTATCTAATTATCCATCAAACCAATTATTAAAGTACTAAACTGGACTTGAACCAGTTACTAGAAGGTTGAACCAACCATGAATCAGTCAAAACAACACTGAACCGATTCTCAAACACACTGAACTGAACATGAAACCCATCGAACCAGTAATAAAACCACTGAACTGGTCAAGAAACCCATTGAACCGGTCACAAAACCCATTAAACCGTTCTTAAATCATTAAACCGGTCATAAAACCTATTGAACCGGCATTAAACCTAT